AAAAAATACAGATTTCAGTATTCTGAGGCTCTGAGCCCCATTTATTTTCCTCACAGACGGCAGCAAAATGCCGGAATTATACGATTTAAAATAGAAGCAATAATTGTGGCTTGCTATTGAGTAAGAACATGTTTTTATGAACCACACAGCTTCCGGTCTTCCTTTAACACGTAATGCGGTGAGACTACCAATAGAAATACATTGCTTTTAAAATCGTGCTGTGCATCACGAAAAAAAGGGGAAAATCGTGTTGGTGAACACGAATCAATAGATTAAAAATCGTGTTGGTGAACACGAAACGCCGTGAGACTGGGTTGCCATACGATATAGAGAACTCCAGTGGATAACACCCGATAACTCTGTGTAAACGGGGCCTAGATCTAATGTTGGATGTGACGGCTTCTTAGTCACAGTGGCAATCACAGCCTTTTTAGATTAGCGTGATCCCTCATACATAATTTTTGTATGTTACTCATACTGTACTTGTAACGAATAGACTAAATGGTTACCATGGTAGAAAAGATTGAAGGTCTCAATATCAGCAAAACACAAAATGAAGATCTAATTTTCATTTAACACGGTTGGAACTCCTTTTTAAGAGCTCTGAAGACTTTAACGTTTAAAGGCCCCTACACACCAAACAAACACCAAAGAACACGTCCCGACAGAACTTGGCCAAACAGTCACACTGGAACACACAGCAAAGACTTTAGCAGACGGCCAAGAAGCACGTATGCACTGCACATGCTTTATTCACAATAACTCTCTTTACCAGCAGGCGGCGGTAGTGTGTATTCGTCATTCAAATGAGGCAACCAGAAGACAGGCTGCGAACAACAAATAGCTACATGCTACAGCTCGAGCCAAGCAGCACAGGGATGAACTATGCCAATATTTTAACAGTATCAGTGGCAGTGCAATACCTTTTCAGTGGGGCAAGATGTAGCAAATATGTGTGCCTATCCTGGTATTTGTGTTTATTCTTTTAATCACACAGCGTTAAGAACAAATACAAATTTGCCTTCATAACTGTCAGTTGTAGCCGTATAATTATTATTGATTTAACTAGCCTACGAACAGTATATTTTAAAAACATTTTAAAATGACCATCTTGAACAGCTAAACCATTGAATTACTTATAGGCAGATTGTGGACAGTAACAAAGTACATTTACTTAAAGAGCATCTTGCAGGTTTTTTTTTTCTACATTTATGCTTAAACTTGCCTGAAAATTACAATAAAAAAAGTGAATGTAGGATTTGATTCAAATCCTACATTCACTTTTTTTATTGTAATTTTCAGGCAAGTTTAAGCATAAATGTAGAAAAAAAAAACCTGCAAGATGCTCTTTAAGTAAATGTACNTGTGTTCTCTGACACTTGGTGAGTTCCCTGACACACCGGGGACACATATTCATGTATAAAAGACGTACAAAAGTGCATTTTGCATAGGTCCCCTTTAATATTTCAAAAAGCAAATGTAACACTACAAAGTAACACAGCAACACTCACTCATTGAATGGAGAAACATTCACTTGATTGTTTACATCATTGTTTTTAACACTGACTGAAGCACAAATGGCAATATAGATATGAATAAAAAGCAGTACAATACAACTATAAATGTAAACATACATGTAGATCATGTGAAGAAAACTATTTGGATTCAATTTTGCACAACACTTGGCAGTGGAAACACTATCAAAATGTCATAGACTTTGAATTGATTTACATTTCAGAAAGTACGTTACAAACACTAGCGACGTGCGGTTTTATCCCAATCTTAAATCCCATACTTTGTGGTGATGCATTTAAATCACTACATTTAATCTAAGAAAAATCCATTACATCATCAATGGGAATGTTACCTTTTTATTTCAGGCAGTTGAATATAAATGTGTTCACCACTGTTTTCCATCTGGTTCCATCGCAGGAGTTAATTAAAAGCTCTTTCTATGTTTCTGATTACAAAACAAAAATGGTTTCGAGTTTTTGACGATTGGATTAATGTACTCTTCCTTGGAGTTTAACTTTAATCATAACAAATGCCAATCAGTCAAACAAGCTGGACGCCCGGTGGCAGGAAGCCCCTGTAATGCATATTCAGAAGCACTTATTTGACCTCAGGGAATGATTAGTGGTATTTGAAAGCATAATCAACTTTATTTTTTGTTTCGCGAAGCCAGGGAATGTTTCGCACTTAATGTCTGTTAAACGCCACTTCATCTAAACTCTCTGGATGTTAGACCAGAGTAATTGTTTTTCTCGCCATGTCGAAACAGCACATTCACAGTAAGTAGAATGCAAATACAAACAACATTATCGTTCAACTTGAACACACTTGCTAACCTTTATTATGTCATTTGTATGCAAATGTAGCATATCTAGGCATCACACTTACAGTAAGGACATAGTGTGCGACTATAAAGACCTGAAAGACTAAAAAGTACTTCAGTTGAGAGAAAACACAGAAAGACAATTTATTTCTATTTGAAAAGCTCTTGCCTTTTTTCCTCCTAATGCACATCTCTATATTTTTCATCCATGGCTTCTCACCAGCACAGAGTGGTTGCTGTTTATTATTAATGATTAACGGAACAAAATTGATTTTAAATCTAAAAAGAAAATGTTTTTATATGAGTTTTGTTAGACTTTTGGAGAACCAGTTACATTGTGCTTAATATATTTTATAGGCTACCCCTTGGGTCACATGTGGCCTAAAATCCCATTGGTGATGTTTATATCACTCAGCAATTGCATAGTTTTCCTACAATGCTTATGGCAATTCCCTAAAAACCTGTTATTTCTGTTCCCAGCCTTACAACTCATGAAACTTAAGATGTCTTCAGGATGTCATGAAATATTCTAAGGCTTGTTCTGATGGACCACTTGGTGCCATTTCAACAACCAACAATCAATTAATATTAGAACATTTCCTTTAAAATGTAATATACACCTCATGACTCCAGCACTACATCTTTTGTCTTAGGGGGAGGATTATCTTTTCATTTCAAGCTATCTCGGTTAACATCTCCATTATGACTATTAGAGCTAACCTCTCAAAACATTCCACTTTAGGCTTCAAATAATTAGTTCTGTTCATTATGTTTGATGAGTAATAATAGATTGAGCGTGAGCAGGAAGGTAACATCGCAGCTCAAAGGCATGTGATGCTCTCGAAACAGTCATTTTTAATATCCGGGGAAGAAACAGACGCAAACTGTCAAGCTGTCCAAATGCTGAAAAAGCGTTCTCATGATTGATTGTCTGCTTCACATCATTGAATAGAGTTATATAACAGAGCAATGGGGTTTTGTTTTTAACAGCTATCAATATTCCGCAGTCATTAACATTATAGTGTTGCTGCAGTACATTGTTTTTTAAAACATGTTTAGAGAGTCAATGCTGTCAACGACTCTTGATGTAAATGTCAACACTAACCAAATTATGCATTTGATGAGAGCGCCGCACCACATGAAGGATCTGCATTCAGTTATGTAGTAGAGAGAGACAATACAAGCAAAGGAAACTGTCTGCATTGGATTAAAGGTTAAAGCTTCCGACATATCTTTATATATTATGATGCAAAATGCTATTCAAATAAGTTTCCCCAACTCATTGATTACATTTAAAATTGGATTTAAAGACAGACACGGCCCATTTTTAAGGGTCTAAGAAACATGAATGCAAACATTTTTCTTCTTTTATTGTAAAATAAAAATGCAAACGTAATACCTTGACTTGAGCCAGGTGGAAAGAAGTAAAGAAACACACACACACGCAAGCACATCCAAAGTCTGGTGAAAGAGTTGCATCGCAGTTTTTCAAATCGTGCTGTACTGGTGCCTCCCTATTTGTTTCATGGATCCTGGGTGTCCCGGCCTCCTGTGTGCCCAGTGAGCAGCCCATCTGTTTCTGGAGTGGGGCTGATTGCAAACATTCCACACAGATTGTGAACTCACTGCCATCGCACTGCAATTCACCAACAATCTGTTTCATCTACGCACACTGCTGGTGGTTGAGTGTAGAGCGCCAGAGTAACATCGCTTCACTTTGATAACTACATTACTGGCAATATCACCACATAGACCAACAGGCACAACAACAATCTGCATGTGAGTATTTAACTTGTTTTAGCCTTATGCATTTTAATTAAACCCACATTTTCATAATGATCTTTGTGTAATATCTGTTAAGCTGATGCGCCATTAGCAGGCATGATACTGTACAATCTTCTCTTGCCCTGAAACACTGTCAGAAAAGTGCTGAAAAGTATCAGCAAATGTGGATCGAGTGAAAGAGCTTCAGCTTATTATAGAATAGCCATGGGTGAATGAGCTTCAAAGAGATGTCAATAAGTAGGCAAAAGATGATTGATGTCTCCTTCAAGGAAATGTTAACACAAACCTTTCTGCCTTCCTGTCTGTTATGGTCTAACTGACATTTTTAAAACTAGAAAAATCGGTTGTTGCACAATCATGTTGCAATTTCCGTTGTCAATTCTTAGATTTATTAATGTCAGTCAATGTAGTGTGCATGTGTCAACCATTCATGCAGCCGGTTACAGTTGCTTCTGCTAGGTTGTTACTCTTTTTCCACTTTTAGGTTTCTTAGTTTATAGTACTTTTAATTGTTCTACTTGAAACTTCCTACACCCTCTCCTAACCTGCGTGGAGGTGGAGTTTTTGTTTCTTGTGTCCCACTCGCCACTGTTGCATACAACCACTTGGCTGCCTTGTTTACACCATGGGACCGGCTGACATGACGGCAGGAACAACATTCCCGCCGTCATGTAAGCCATGTCTCCCCCTCTCATCTTGGCCAGCGTAAGATCAATGGATGAGCTAATGGTGTAAGCTAGGAGTGAAACCAAATATCTGGAGTGTAGGTCAATGACGACAACCTTTCAATCGACGGCTTCCGGTCTTTAGAGGGTCCCTAGGCTGTGGAGGACAAACCTGTGCCTAAGACGCCATGTCCCAGTGGCTACACTGACTTTCATTGCACTTTTTTACTTGAACCCCTTAAAAACGTTTGTATATATTTTATTCTTAAATGATGCAACTGTCACGAAAACCAAATTCCTGATTCTGATATGTTCTTAAGTTAGGTTTGAGCACATTAAAACATTTCTGAGGGTTTGAGGCATACGACTAGACCCATCAGCATGATATTTCTGTGCCAGTTTATGACTGCTCAAGGAACTAAACATCAGCTTCAATTGGGAAAGTCGTTTCTGTTAAAAGTTACAGATAACAAATTGTTCCTGTCCAGATTAGCAAGCCTTCAGTCGTAACACTCAATCAATGCTGAAATGTTTCATTGTAGCTCAATGGAGCAGTGTTTAGCGTTTGTGTGTAGCAGTTCTTGGTTGAGTGAGGGAGAGACAGAAGCTGCAAAAGGGGTCTCACCTGATTGGAGCAGAGGCTAAGGTCAGCATTGAAGTTGTCTGGTGGCAGTAAATATACACTGGACGTTTGTCCATGAATAAACAATGCAGCACCAAAACACCTAGGAAGACTCTGTGTCTTGCTCACCAGCTGCTAGACGAAACTGAAGGGAGAATCTCTAACCCCTGCACTTCACCTTGGTTGAAAAATGTGTATAAATATATTTATTTAATGCCTTTTTGTTAAACATTACCTCAAGTGTATGCTTGTAGGCTTACTGTCAAGAAAATATACTTAAATTGTACATACACCCGAGAAACAAGTGTTTTATTTTTATATTAAATATTTTTTGCTTTTAAAGTATTTTATGAATTATGGTATATATGGCTGTCAGGAAAACAGTCCCAGAAAAGTTGCATCATAAAATAAAAATAGTATCTATTTCAGTGGGCTTCAGCTCTCCTGTAACATAATGCCTCGTAAAAACCCATGTACTATGGGATAGGTGCATAATAAATCCCAGTGAATTCCTATCCAGCCCTATCATATACTTTCAGTTATGATATCTTGCACTCAACTCCCTCAAACACACACATATTTCTTAATATCTTACAAAATTATATAT